GGGGACGCCGAAGGCGCGGGACCGGTGGACCGCCCGCAGGCATGCCACCGAATCAGCGTGACCAGCGGACCGCCCGCAGGCATGCCGCCGAAAGCCGCCTGCCTGCCGTGCTTGGCGTGGCGAAAAACATAGAACCACCCCTGCCTGTGTTTGTACAGTGCAAGCACAGAGGGGGTCTGGTTCATATCTGGGGCCCGTAGGTGTGGCTACAATCCAAATAAATAACAATCAGAGTGGCGGTGCTGCGTTCGCATTTGCTCCCCGTTCTCCGCTATCCCCTGCAGTCGCTGTGGGGAGCTGAGAGAGCCACGCTCCTCGGGGACCGACGGCATCCCTCGGCTTCCAGCACTGGAGAAAGCCAGGTGTCAACCCAGCTTAATTTGTTTTAAATTAATTTGCAGAGGAGGGAGCCGGAGGAGGCTGAAAGGTGAAAGGGGCTTTTCCTGGAGCCTTGCCAACTGGGAAATATCCTTCGCAATTTCTTTGTGAAAGCTCTGGTGGCTTCCCGGGGAGGGAGACCCAAGTTCTATTCAATTAGGAGTAATAAACCCATGTTTTCCTGCCTCCTAATCCCCAACAAGGTAGGGAATTTACATGGGCAATCGGTTTAACCCACTGCTTGATCAGTTAATCCATCTCCCAGCTTCATCGCCAGCCCCTCTGAAGCACGGTTTTGCTTTCACGGCACACAGAAGCGGAAAGTTTCAGGTTTAGAAGGCCTAGGCTTACATTTAACCACGGGGCAGGCTTTACGGTGAAGCTTGCCCACCAAAGTAGCCTGAGTTGGATTTTCTGCAATGCAAGTGTTCAGTCCCTGATCATACATCTGCGACCTTTCTTCCAGAGAGAGCTCTTTCCAGGGTGAAAAGAAGCACCATTCATCAGTTCCAAGGCCAGCAGGGACCCCGTGATCATCCAGTCTAATCTCCCGCGTAACACTGGCCAGAGAACTTCCTCAGAACAATCCCTGTTTGAATCAGTGCCGATCTTTCCCCAAACTGTCCAATCTTGATTTAAAAACGGCTAGTGATGGAGAATCTGCCAGAGCCCTTGGTAAGTTGTTCTAGTGGTTAGTTACTCGCCCTCGCTGTTAAAAATTGACACCTTATTTCTAGTCTGAGTTTGTCTAGCTTCAACTTCTAGCTTTTGGATTCTGTTAGATCTTTGCCTGATCGACTGAACTATTTGTAGGTGGTTATGAACGGGAATCAAGTCACTCCTTAATCTTCTCCCCCCCCCCCCCCAGCTAAATAGAGTGAGTTCCTTGAGTCTTTCACAAATAAGGTACCATCGTAGGCAGAAAGCATCAGCTGGGAAAGGTCGGTCCAATCCTGGGTGGACTGAATCCAGGGTGAGACGTGATTAGTTCTTGGGTTCGGATCCTGGTTCTGCCACAACTTCCTGTGTTCGCCGAATCATGTCGCTGCTCTGTGCTTCAGTTTCCCTATCTGGAAAAGGGCGCTAATGCTACTTCCCTACCTTATCTGTTAATGTTTGTGCACCGCTTGGGAAATACAGCATGTCCTACAAATGCTAAGGATTATTTTGTAACAGATCCATGCCCATCTAGAACATCACAGCTGTCCCTATACTGTATGGTGTGAACATCCTGACAGCAAGGTAGGTAGGACCCATATCCTCCTGCTCTACAAAGCACAAGCCCCCACTGCACCTGAATTTAAAAGTGACTCTCCATTATCTATGAGCTGTATAGGGCCTATGACACACCACAGAGGAGTTCCGATTCTGATCAGTAGAAGACAGCACTAGCCAATTAGTTACAACACAGGTGCCAAGGGGTGGTGACACTTGTTGAATTTCCCACACTCGCATGCCACGCTATGTGAGTGAGGCACAAGATGGGAAGAAACACAGTAAAAGAACTAAAAAAGAGCCACCGTGGCTTAACAACCATGTAAAAGAAGCAGTGAGAGATAAAAAGACTTCCTTTAAAAAGTGGAAGTCAAATCCTAGTGAGGCAAATAGAAAGGAGCATAAACGCTGCCAAATTAAGTGCAAGAATGTAATAAGAAAAGCCAAAGAGGAATTTGAAGAACGGCTAGCCAAAAACTCCAAAGGTAATAACAAAATGTTTTTTAAGTACATCAGAAGCAGGAAGCCGGCTAACAACCAGTGGGGCCCCTTGATGATCGAGATACAAAAGGAACTCTTAAAGACGATAAAGTCATTGCGGAGAAACTAAATGGCTTCTTTGCTTCAGTCTTCACGGCTGAGGAGGTCAGGGAGATTCCCAAACCTGAGCTGGCTTTTGTAGGTGACAAATCTGAGGAACTGTCACGGATTGAAGTGTCACTAGAGGAGGGTTTGGAATTAATTGAGAAACTTAACATTAACAAGTCACCGGGACCAGATGGCATTCACCCAAGAGTTCTGAAAGAACTCAAATGTGAAGTTGCGGAACTATTAACTAAGGTTTGTAACCTGTCCTTTAAACCGGCTTCTGTACCCAATGACTGGAAGTTAGCTAATGTAACGCCAATATTTAAAAAGGGTTCTAGAGGTGATCCCGGTAAGTCTAATGTCGGTACCGGGCAAATTAGTTGAAACAATAGTTAAGAATAAAATTGTCAGACACATAGGAAAACATAAACTGTTGAGCAATAGTCAACATGGTTTCTGTAAGGGGAAATCGTGTCTTACTAATCTATTAGAGTTCTTTGAAGGGGTCAACAAGCATGTGGACAAGGGGGATCCAGTGGACATAGTGTACTTAGATTTCCAGAAAGCCTTTGACAAGGTCCCTCACCAAAGGCTCTTATGTAAAGTAAGTTGTCATGGGATAAAAGGGAAGGTCCTTTCATGGATTGAGAATTGGTTAAAAGACAGGGAACAAAGGGTAGGAATTAATGGTAAATTCTCAGAATGGAGAGGGGTAACTAGTGGTGTTCCCCAAGGGTCGGTCCTCGGACCAATCCTATTCAACTTATTTATAAATGATCTGGAGAAAGGGGTAAATTGTGAGGTGGCAAAGTTTGCAGATGATACTAAACTGCTCAAGATAGTTAAGACCAAAGCAGACTGTGATGAACTTCAAAAAGATCTCACAAAACTAAGTGATTGGGCAACAAAATGGCAAAATGATAGCAGATCAGGCAGTGGGGAATTGTTGGTACCGGTCTCTGCGGTGCAGCCACAGCCCTTCCCCCCCCCCGCCGCCCCCAGGGCTCTGCAGGGAGGCGAGAAACATCCAGCAGTCTCAGTGCAGGGATCCCCTCGTGCTCGCTCACGCGTGAAACAAGCGCTGCCTTATTTCGAAGGAGCTGGGGGTGGGAATGGAAGCGTTG